AATTTTTTTAGCAACTTTTATCACTTTACACTTGAAGTAATCAAATTATTATGATCAACATTATTGCATCGCCGTTTCATTTTGTATTATTTCATTAAATTTGCATTTTTCTTATGTATTCTATGTAATCTTTTTTACTGCCATAAAGACTGAGAGCCTTAATAACGTCTAAATCGTAATAACGTTCTGAGTAATATATCAAACGTTTTTCTAAGATGATGTTAAACGTTTTTCTTTACACTGATAATAATACATGAAATATATTGCCGATAAATATATATAAAAAATAGAAATCGTCAAAGATAGTAAAACACAAACGCAATAAATAATTTTCTTCTAGTCTTATTATTACTTTACGGATCGTTCCACTTACTGCGCGCTAATTATATTCTATGTAATTACGCTATATTGCTGTGGATAAAGACGACCCATTTCGTAAATACAAAGCTCGCGTGCAAATTACGACTCGGCCGGAAGGTCTTTGTGCGAAAATGTTACTTCATCATAGGTATCGTCGACGTATACGCGTTAAAAAAATACTCGCCTAATTAATATCATGATAAGTAATAATCGCGTGATGCGGATAAGATGTAATTACATTATGTGTATATTAGGCTTTATGTGTTTTCCGCTATAACATCTTACAAAACACAGAATTTATTATTAGTCGAAACGTAAGTACGTTTTCACCTGTATTTAGGATCCTTTGCTAATCCTGTGTCGACGTAGAATGGATATATTGTTGTAAAATGAATGTTAGGTTTTCTTTCATGTAATCGTACCTCCTCGTGAAGGGCCTCCATAAGACCTAAATTAAACTTATCAAAATCCATTGCGAATCCAAAAGTTGATAAAATAATTGATAAAATACCTCTCACAGCAAATTTTGAAGAGCAGTATGCTATTTTCTGAGACACCCCGTAGATGCCACACATGCTACTTATCGCTACTATGTGGCCACTTCCTTTTAGTAGCATCGAAGGCAGAAATGCTTCTATTGTCTAAAATAATTATTCTTCGTAAACTTTTTATTGTAAATTTTCTGTTTAAAATAATTTAATTTAGTAAATAATGTTATTACAACTTATCGTACGTTTTTTTAATAAAATGCGTTTTTCCATTAGGTTTTTAGAAGGAAATATATTTTTAATCATTTAATTCAAAAATATATTGAGAAGAATATAACATAATAATCTAATAGAATAATCTCGAAAGCATACGTATTTAAGGTTGCTCAATAAAAGATAACGATAAGAATGTAATTTAATTCCATTAGCACATACCCAGAAATTTGAAAGTACATTAACATTGAATGTTTTTTCCACGTCATCTGGATTTAGACTTAGATATGGTTGATGATATAATACAGCTGCATTGTTAACGAGTATCGTCACGTCCGGTACGCCGACTTTTCTCATCATTCTCACCGTCTCGCGTACTTCCAATCTGTTTGAGACGTCGACTACAAAACCGTAGACCTAAAGATATCTACAGCTGTACTTATATGTCTTTCAGATAACAAAGTGAGGAAAAATAATTAAAAAAAAAAAAAATAAAAACAGAATACAATTTAGAGAAAGATTAATACCTCTCCGCCATTTTTCGACACTTCTCTCATTGTCGCTCGATTGCTTTCAATATCATTGTCCCAACAGACAACTATACAGCCCATCGAGGATAACTGGATAGCTAATTCGCGACCGATACCGTGACCGGTTCCGGTGATCTAATTTTGATATCATTAAAATATTTTTGCTATGACGTATATAGGTTTCAAGAATTTTAAGCCATTGCAATATTTATATCTATATTTTAATGGAAAGTAAAACTTACGAGAACGGTTTCTCCTAGTAAACGTTTCATAGAACGCGGTATAATCATTCTGAAAGTTGCGATTATCATCGCCAGACTTATCTTCGCCGACAAAAGAGACAGATCCAAGAATAATCGATGCAGTTTGACGTCTTTGAAGAAACGTTGAATAATCTTCATCTTGATATAATTAATAAATAAAAGTGTATTTAGAGGTGTCAAATAAGTTTAGATAATAAATGAAAATTTAAAGACGTAAAATTCATTATTATACCACATTATTACAATATTTATCTCGCCAATTTGAAATTTTACATTTAGTTGTAAAAAAAAAAAAGGTAAAAGGTAAAAAAAATAAAAGAAAAGAAAGAAATTTCAGTAAGATAGTAAGGTCTACATTAATTGTGATGATTGCGAACCCTTGGAGAACGTTAGAAAGTGCAACGTATATGAATCTAGTAGAAATGCTCGAGTAGAAATGGGAGAAAAATATAATGGAAAAATCCACACATAAATCTCGTACTGTGGTTTCGTGATGTAACCCTCAACAGACCGTAATGCTCGCCAATCACTTTCCTTTCAAACTACGTCGTCGTGTGGCGACCAGTTAATTTATAGTTGTTATACACAGTTTTAAGAATAGCGTCATTAAATTAGTAACAGTTCGTAGCCATGACATCCATATGTAGATTACTAATGTCAATTGACTTGAACTTCGTCACTCTTTGTTCCTCAAAGTAAGAAAAATGGAATTCAATAAAATAAAGTTAGTGAATTAATTAATACATTTCTCTTTTAAAGAAATTATATTATTTACTAAAATATTATTTTATCAAAAGAAGAAGATTAATATATTTATTTAAAAATATATCGAATTTGAAATTCGTTGAAAACGTCATCGCATAAAAGTGCCAACTCTGTTCTCATATAATTTCACTTTTGTGATCGATATTGCTTCATTGTTTTACAGAGGATATTTTTTATTCTTATCCAAGAGCGGCTGTTAAGGAACGTATAGTTGCCCAAGTATGTGGAAAATGTGCTTGCTTTCTCTCTTTCTCTTTGTGCTAAACAGACCGTAAAACAGCCCTGCGAGCATTTTATTATATCAAGCGATTTTATCGTATAGTTAGAATCGAGATGTTAAGAGTGAAAAAGATCATCGAGGATCCAAAATTGAAGAGATTCTGGATGAGATGGCGGATTCTTATGTGGAAAGCCGTCCTTATGCGGCTACACAGCCCTATAATTACCGCATTAGAGATCATTATAGCCATTGTCCTTTCGTTGCAGATACGTTTAATATTCGAACCGCAAGCTCTTCACTCGCAGGTAACCTAGCTAACTTTTAATTAGAAAATTAAATTAAATTTCTCTCACAATTATTATGTAACATAATTATCTTTGATGATATTTTCGTCTACATTTAAGAAAAAGATTTCTTTAGATTTACCAATTATGTTATAATAATTTTTATAATAATTTTTTAACAATTGTCATTATGATTATAAATATTTTAATAATTCTAAATATATTTTATATAAAGTTAGATCAATATAATCGAGACGATATCTTAGCAAATTTGCCTGATGACGTACAATGTTGGTACGCACCAAAAGATGCATTTGTAGATGAATTAATGCTGAAAGTCGCGAAAATGCTTCATACAACTAGTAAGATACAATATCTCTAACTGTTTATAACGTTTAAAAAGAAAGTTAAATAAAGATCATGCATAAGATATTGCATATTAGTTCAAATAGCCGACAGCGAAATCAGTCTTGTGCGTTCACGTTATACGAAAAATGATACTTCCAAGGTACTATGGGCGATATTCGAGATTGATAAACTCACATCTGGAAAATCAAAAGTATTGGAATATAAAATACGTTCATCGGAAATAGGTGAAAATCGTATGATCATGATGCATGAGGATGAACCTGCTTATAGAGGTATTTTAAGTATATTTTCATAAATTTGACATTTGTAATTTGACGATCGATACAATTAAGAAGTTATATTATATAATATTATATATTATTTAATGTTTATTGTCAAAGATCCGTATATATTAAGTGGTTTCATGGCTCTGCAAATGGCAATTGAAAAATCTTTCGTAGAGATGTGGACAAATCCGACACTACCAAGAATTGCTGATAATGTAAGTATTCTAAATAAATAAATTATTATAAAATTGACATGAAAATAATTATTTTAAACACAGAAATGTGACAAAAAACAGTTATCAATGTAGATTTCTTTGTAGTTAACTATTGGCCGATTTCCATTTTATAAAGTTGATTTTTTAATTCTGCCATACGTCATTCGACCCAATATCAGCATAATCTATTATATGATGGTTATTGCCTTCATTCTATTACCAATAGCGACGCTAAAAAAGGCACTTCATGATAAAGAAACTGGATTCAGAGTGAGCTCTTAAACAAAATTGATTTTATTTTTTGACCATTATAACTTTTCTTATTATCTTTGTACGATGTAAATAAATAAAATCAAAATGTACATATGTTTACTTTAGGGTCTTATGAGATTAACGAATATGTCTTTCGCAATGTTATACGTCGGATGGATTAATTATCTTATGATCACCTTGTTACCCGTGACGATTGCGTGTACAATCATTCTATATCCAGTGTTCTCAGCCGCAAATGCATTAGTCACCGCCATATTTATCATGATGTATAATATTCTCTCTATGCTCTTCATGTTCACCGTTAGCACACTTTTCGATCATTGTAAGTTATGTAAACATTGGAATAAAACAGGAGTATGCAAATGCTTTTTGCGAAGGAACGAAAAATTTAGCTTCATTTATAATGCCATCTGACTCATTCCTATATCTTTTTAATGACACACTATTTTTATTTATAAAAAAAATTTTATTTTAATCTTAATCTTTTTATAATCGCGCATAATTTTGTCATAGCTACGAAAGCATTGCTCATGTCGGTTCTGTTTTGGCTCTTTTTAACGCATTTGACTATCGTTCTGGATCAATTTCTGATACAAGAATCCATCTTATGGATCAGTTCGCTATTTCTTCCGCATAGTGGTTTGCTATATGGAATAGTGGCTTTCACAACATGCACAGGTTTCGGTAAGTCACTCTGCGTTCAATTTAAGTTTAAATTATCTAACACAGTAATAACTAAAACCAATCGTTTAAATAAAATTTTATTTGTACTTATATATTATTTATTTGCGTGCACAAATATTTAAATAAATTTTTGTTAAAATAATATATTTAAATAAAATAAAGAATATTTTTTATTTTAATATAGATAAAAATATTTTTGTTATATACAAATAAAATATCTTTTATGCATTATGAACTTGCCAAATTTATATGTAAATTAAATTTTAGTGAATGTACATGTAAAATGAGGAAGTCATAATCACTTACATAAGATCCTCTCAAGCAAATTATTCAAGCGTATAAATTACAACCTACATATATATATAAAAAACTATTTATCACAATATTTAAATCACTTGTTTCTTATATCCTGGTTGTATTTTTTATGTAACTGATCTTTTTAACTATTCTATCTATTTTATTTAATTGATATTTATTAATGTCGTGCATTTATTATTCTACATAAATATATCATTTGCATTTATAATTATAGTATAAATTACAATAAACCGTAATATGTTTGTAAATATATAAATATATTATAAAAATAAGAAACAACAATGTGCATTAATGCGTGAATTATATCACATTGTGATTCTTAATAGAGGATTACGAAAGCGAAAATTTGAGAAATATTTGGAAAAAAGTGAAATTGCGCAATTATACCAATCCTACTTCATATCTGTGGCCACAATGGTTTTCTGAATTGATAACATTACGAGATACTTATGATATCATTCATGCCGGAGAACAAATTTCCATTGGCACAATTCTTTTTGCATGGCTATTACATATTATTTTCTGGTATTTATTAGCAGTATACTTGGATAATATAAATCCAGGAAAATTTGGCAGCGCAAAACCCTGGTATTATTTATGCAAAGTAAATAATTTACAAATATTATTTTTCATATTCTTGCAAATATTGCAAAAATTATTATTTGTCTAATCAGTTTATAAAAAATTTATATATAATTTGCTTACAACAGCAATTTTTTTTTATGTTTAAATTTTATTTTTAGTTTGTTTTTAAAAGCATATGATGTAAAAGTTATCTTTATACAAATTATAAATATAAATATATATATTGTTTAGAAACCTATTTATGATAATGAAGATTTAACAATTCTTGGATCTACTAATTGGTCGGCAGTGGAACATACACCATCATACATAAAGGTATATATAATATTATATTTCTTGAATTCTCAGACATGTATATTATGTTTATATAAAGCAACTAAATGCATTATTAAAAGAATTTAAAAAATAATGATTAGACATGAATAATGATGACATTTTGCATCACAAATTTGTATTAGAAATTAACATCTTAGCATTTTATTTTTTATTATTTTGCGAACTCAAAATCGACCTATTTTAAAAAATTAAATAATACAGAATTGGTACACATATAATAAAAATATTTCATCATTAAATTCATCATTAATATATCATTTAAATCATTTTTAAGAAATAGTTATCATTGTAATATGAGAATTTATTATTTAAGTCGGCACAGAGAAAATAAATTTTATTTAACAAGATAAATAATCATTTATATCTCAAGATCATATATATGTAGATCATATATATCATATATATCAGACACTCATATATATGAGTGTCTGATTCAAAATGGCAATGCTTGTATGCAGATGGAGCTCTACCATTTTGTGATTTTTCACAATTAATAATAATTTATTAATTATCAAAAATCGCATAATTCAAGATCGCATAATTCGCACGATTCAAGATTCGAATAAGCATGTATTTGCCTGGCCCATTGGAGAATATCAAACGCACAGCGAGATGCCATCACTGCGATCGCCTAACATTCGCGTTTGCCAAGAGCGCGATGAAATATTTGGAGGTGTGTACTATAAACTATAGATGTTCTGTCTCATTTGTCCTCTACCATCTAACATTTCGCCACACTTCTACAACCGCGACACATGTAAATGTAACATTGGGCGATAACATCTCCCCAACAAACAGAAATGGATAGAAGTGGATATTCATGTAGTCATTGCCGAATCCAAATTCTTGATTTTTTTAACTCATTTCACTTCATTTTCTACCTATTTTCAATCTATTTCCGGATGCTGAGTCGCTGTGCGTTTGCATTTGTCGGTGGACCAGACAGACACGCTTATTCGGCGATTTTTCATAATAACTTTCATAATAATATAACTCACATTACTAATTGCGAAAATCGCAAAATGATACAGGATTTTTTTGTTCAATTTAACTCTATCTGCATATAGCCATTTTGAATCAGTTCCTATATTTCTTACCTGATTCTTTATATAATTAATTTATAATTAATATAATTTCATAACTTGCAATTAATATGTGAACAACAGCCATCTATTCGGGTGAGATGTATTAGGAAGGAATTCGGCAAAATTGGCGAACCCATTACGGCTATAAATGATGTAACGATTAATTTCTATCATCAAGAACTCAGTGTCATTTTGGGTTATAATGGATCTGGCAAAAGTTGTTTGTTAAAGATAATTATCGGTATAATAAAAAAATTAATTAATTCAATATCGATTTTTCTCGTATATTAATGAGTAAATTAGTATATTATTATAAATGTATGATAGGAATGTACAAATCGACTCATGGTCACGTCTATGTGGAAGGAAAAAATTATAACGAGAAGGAAAATGTAATGTATCCAGTTGGTTACTGTCCGCAAGAAAATATATTAGTTTATTACTTAACAACGATACAGCATCTTTATATATTTGGTATGGTAAGTATTATGTATGGTATGTATTATGCATAAAACATGTTTGCATACATCAGGTATAAATAAACCACTCACGCCGTCTCTTGTGACGAAGAAGACTAGTTTATTGGGATACAAAATGTCGCTAATTAAATAAAACCTGCGTTTTAAACGAAAAACGAATGTGTAATGATGCCGAACTCGTAAAGAAGAAGAAGAACTAAAATAAAAACTAGAATTGATAAACCAAGAAAACGAAAAATCATAACCGCGCACGCTCTCTGTTAGCCGAATCGTAAACTCAATACAAATACTTTTCATATAAATTATTAAAATTTAAAAATATCTGTAACAATCAAATTTTTATATATTAAATATATTAAGTAGCATTTTCAATCTAACGGTAGATATATTAATAGCATAAATTTATTTAATATATAAAATATCAAGTTACGTAAGTTGCCTTTTTTATCATTAAGAATTTAAGAAACATTTAAAAATTAATGACCATTCGCGTACGCAACATAGTTAAAGTTACATATTAGAAAAGTTACATATTAAAAATAAGCATCATATTGATCTAAATAAGAACCAGTTCAGTTTCTATACTGTATTCATAATCATTTAATTTAGTATTAGAAAGTTTGTGTTTTATGGTTTATCTATATATATTATCACTCAAACAAGATGTAGAGAAAAAAAATATAATAATTCATTTGCTTAACTAATTTTACGTCAAACAACTGTAATGCAATATGTTTCAGTCTGGATCAAATAAATTTTGTTAAATTTTGAAACTAAAAATTTATTGAAAAGTGCAATTTATTTATTTTAGATGAAAGGGATGACGTATGAAGATGCTTATAGAGAATCACTAAAGCTATTGAAGCAGCTCGACTTAGAATATGTAAAAGATACAAAAGTGAAATCTTGTCCCTTTGAAACACAGAGAAGAATTTGTTTAGCAATGGCACTTATCGGCAATACTACAGTATATTACTTTATTTATAAATTTAATGAATTATGAAAATTAGAAATTAGAAGATTAAATTTTCACGATATAAAGTTGGAACATTATTATAACAGTCTCAGAACATTACTATAAAATTCTTAGAATATTCTTTTCGGTATGTTCTAAGAATTTTAATAGATGTTAATAAAATTGATGGCGATAAAATAATAATATACGTTACTTGGTTTAAATTAGTAAAATGTTAATAATTTTGGCAGATCCTGATCCTTGATGAACCTACATATGGCCTTGACCCTGAACATAAAAGACAGATATGGGATTTACTTTTGGTAAGTGGTTTTTCTTGAAATAGATTTGTTTTTACAATATAAACTAAATCAATTAATGCACAATAATAATTTATAGGATATAAAAAGAAACAAGACAATTCTAATAGCAACAAATTCTATAGAAACTGCAGATCTTCTTGCAGATAGGATTGCTATTATTGCAAACGGGCAGATCGAATGTTACGGTTCTAAGATGTATCTAAATCGTAGATATGGTAAGATCTAATTATATTTTTTATTAACAAAAGACATTATACTAAATAATAAAGTAAATTATAGAAAATTAAATTAAATTTCTTTATTAATACACAAAGAAAGTTAAAATTCTTCTAAACTTAAATGAAACTAGGAATCGGCTATATTTTGAGTTTATTGGTACAAGAGAATTGTAATATAAAACGAATCCATACCGAAATACAACAATTCTCAGCGGATGCAATTACTCTGCGAGGCATAATGGGTTTGGTAATAAGATTTGATGTGCCGAGGCACAGTCGATTCACTAAATTGCTCCAATATTTAGAATCCAATAAGGAAGAATTGAAAATTAAGTCAGTTGCACTGAGTGCTGCTAGCATTGAGGGTCAATTTCTCAGGTTAAAAATGTTTTTAATTTAAGATTATTATTAACAAATTTACATTAACTTACATTAACTTACATTATTATTGAATATAACACAAAATATAAAATTTTGAATTTATAAAATTGACAATCGTTGAAGAAAATTATTTAATTTTAATTTTAATTTTTGATACTATAAAGATATATTTTAAAAATTGAAAAATCAACTGATCTCGACGGTAATTATTCTGCATTTAGAATAAGTTTAGAAAGCCATTTTAAAGAACGTAACATAAAATTACCAAGCAGTAAGTGCGAACTTATTGTGCAACAAAGACGACAACATTTGTTACAGAGAGGTAAAAATTTTTACACAATTATTTCTATTAAAGTGTAAAATATATAATAAATAATATAATAAATAATGTAATGATAATAATCATTTATTTTTTCGTATTAAATTAAATTAAATTAAATATTCTTAATCAAACTATATTAATCTATCTTAAATTAATTATCAGCTGAACCATGGGAGCGATTGACCGGTAATACTTTATGGCGACAACAAGTTTTTGTTATGTTTTATAAGAAATTATTACACATCGTTTCATCCTGGAAACTATACATGTTTTCCGTAAGTTTTTTTCGAGAAAGTATAATATATTATATTTTTTAAATAATGAAAGCCATTTTAGATAATTTTGGCGATTATTACTCTTATTTTAACCACTATGATAGGCGAATTGAGCGGTTTCACACTTTTTGACATGACGTAAGTTAATCTTGCTTGTCTTATGATAAAAAAAAGTATTTTCTTTTACGCAAGTACATAAATTATTGTAGCATTTGTTACATTAGTTTACCGTAGTTATATTATCCTTCAATAATTATCCAAATCGCTAGATCATTAATCATCATGGGTGTTTTCAATAAACATCATAATACACTGCTATTACACAAAAAAAATTATACAAATTATTCTGGCATTTTATTTTACGATATAAAGATTTTTTGCTTCTTTATCAAACACTCTCGATAAATCATTTACTAATAGAATACTACATAAAGAAGATAATATTGAAGATAATATTTTATACTACATAAAGTAATAACTAAATGCTTATAACAAGCATATGTTGTAAATGCATATAACTATATAACAACATATTTTACGAGTAGCGTTATAAAAAATGTTCAGATAAAATTAAAATAAATAATTATATGTATAGCGAGAAAGTAATGAATCTGACAAGTTATATGGATAATAACTTTCACGTGCTATATTATGCAGCCGATGACAAATCCATCAAAGATTTTCTTGTCACATTATACATTACTGGTCAAATGTACAGTGAGAGGCATAATTATCATATCTCCAAAAACGTTCCGGCCACAGATCTTATGATACACCCTGACTTACACTCGATAGAGGTAGAAAGAGTAATCCTAAAACTTTTGTAATTAGTTAATTACATTAATTACATTAATTTTACAGTTTAGGGATCGTTATGTCATGTCTGTCGACATATATACAGATGGATATGTGCAACTTATGTATTCGTCCACTGCGGTACATAGTGGACCAATTGCATTAAATTTACTGCATAATGCGTTGTTGCGTTATCATTGCGGTTCAGACGATTGTTGGATCAAACTAACAAGTCGACCAATAATTCAGCCAGGACAGGTAATGTTTCATATTAATAAATAGATTAAACTTTGTTAATGTTCTAAAGAGAGTATGAATTTTAATTTTATGTTTCGCATTTATTTTATTTCGTTTATAAAACAAAAAGTTTATAGCATATTATAAAATAACTAAAATTAAAGTAAAAAAATTTTTAATACGTCATATAAATTAAAATTTGCAGTGGCAACACCTTTTGCTCCATCCACGAAGTATACGGAATTGGGAAAACGCCGCTGTAGTAATGACTTTGTTCCTTCTTCTACCCTCTATTGACATGGGAATACGAGAACGAAAGGCAACATCAAAAATGCTGCAGACTAATGCGGTCGGTATGTCTATACGGATCTATTGGATTCCGATATACATCATTGATTTCCTTTGGTACGCTTTTTCCATAATGCTTCTCGGAATTGTTATTTTAATTGCGTATCGCCGCACTCTGTACTTCTCAGCTTTAGAAATAGGTAAGAATTATAAAATATGTAAAAGGTTAATCTTTGCTCATACGTAAGCTCCAAATGCCTTTATTTTACGTATATTTCCAATTTATAAATTTAAAAATCAACAATTTGTATGTATTTTATGAATTTTGTGGCAGTTGAAACACACATGTGTTATGAACATTTACTACATTTACTACAGCAACATTTGTTATGAAACAGAAATATATATATTTACATATAAGCGTCACAATATGAATAAAAAAATTGAAAATCTAAAAATACTCGTGATTAATCAATGTTTCAGTCCAAGTGCTGATGATATTTTTATGTTACGGTGGGTGCGCCATTCCATTAGGTTATTGCATACAACTTTTCACGAGAAAACCAGGAAATGTATATCTAACCGTAATATTGATCAATATTATAGTCAGTAAGTAACTTATTAATTTAATATTCTATTTTATATTGCTTTGAACTTTATTATAAAATAATAACGTTTAATTTAATTTAGTATACAAAATAACTTTACTTAAATATACAATATGTTTTGTAGTATTATTGGTAAATGGTACTATTATATTTCCATTGGTATTTCGTATATTCAGCGGTACCGGAAGATATATATTCGAAGTTTTCGTACATATATTTCCACCTTATATTCTAGCTTGTGCTTTAAGCAATTATCTTATACTAACTTTATACAATAGACAATGCGCATATTTCAATACCTGTGATACAGAATTTTATGTTGAAGATCCTTGTTGTCGTAAGCTCATAAAAATTATTGTTATTCTAAATTAAGTATTTCTATTAAGCAATGATTATTAAAAAATATGTCTTTACATTTTAGAAAATTGTAACGATAAAGGTTGTTATAAGCCTTTAGACGTCATGCTGATCAAACAATCTGGCTCCATGTATTATCATTCGGTTATAGACGACATACTTTTAATGATATCTCAAATGTTTGCTTTTTATATATTACTAGAAATTTTTGAAGAGAAAAATCGTAGAAAGTGGTATAATTACTTTATGCCTTCCATAAAGTATGATGATGAGGATGTAAATTCGGAAGTCGTAGAGGAAAGGAAACGAGTCGAAGAATACATGAAATGTAGGGAAGAAAAAAAGATTATACATTTGTATTACTTATGTAAAAACATATAAATTTAAAAATTATAAACTTTTATTATAATTAAAAAATTTTTACTTTCATCAGAAAATATTTTATTTTCTCTTTCTTATATGCAGACTATGATGAAACAAAATCGCTTCCACCACAAGTTGCTCTTGTTGTTCAAAATTTAACAAAAGAATATGCTGGAAAAGCAGTGGTTCAAGAAATCAATTTTAGTGTAAGCAAATTTATAAGAGTCTAAAAATAAAATTCTTTTCCTATGTATTTTTTAAATATGTATTGTATACAATATTAAATAAATAAATTTCTCATTTAGATCTACAATCAAGAGTGTTTTGGTTTGTTAGGATTTAATGGTGCGGGAAAATCAACGATATACAAAATGTTAACAAGTCAAGTAAAAATGTCGGCCGGAAGAGCAGTAATATATGGATATGAGTTCGCAAAAAATCAAGATATGGTAAGTAACATCTTAATATTCTTAAAGAAGATATGTTTGTGTGTGTGTGTGTGTGTGTGTGTGTGTGTGTGTGTGTGTGTGTGTTTCACATAAGCATATTCTTACTTTATATATTTAATATTCATCTTTTTTATGTTCAACACTTTACAGAAATATAAATATTTATTTTATTTATATTTTACTTACATTATTTGATTTTTTAAATAATAGCCATTATGAACTTTTTTAACTTCTTTTATTAAGTTCGTAGGTATGATCGGATACTGTCCACAAATTAATGGACTAAGTGATTTTATGACAGGAAGACAATACTTACAACTTCATGCAGCACTTCGTGGTGTTCCGTACAAACATATCAATGATGAAGTAAACAAATGGTTAGATGTATTAGGTAAAAACGTACAAATTGAAAACAAATTAAACATTTCTTATTTTGTTTAGAATAATGCAAAATATTAAAAAGCAATTTTTAATTAAGTAATAAATTTCAATTTTTAGATATGTTAGACTTTGAGAATTTAAAGATCGCTCATTGCTCCTTGGGAATTCAGAGGAAGCTTTGTATATTGCAAAGTTTTATAGGCGATCTGCCGATGGTATTTATGGACGAACCTTCCGCCGGGATTGATATAATAACCAGACATGCAATCTGTGAAATTTTGCATCATATACGAGAGATGGGAAGATCTATATTAATCACTACGCACAGGTTTATTCAACAAGTTTAAAAAAACAAAATACACTCTTTTATTAAATAATAATAATTTTGTGAATTTCAGTATGCGCGAAGCAGAAGCGATGTGTACGCGTGTTAGTTTCTTAGTTAACGGCCAATTTAGCACAATTGGATCCTGCGAATATCTAAAAGCAAAGCATGGCCGTAACTTTATACTAAACATTAAAGTAATACCAGGATATCAACTTGCAAATCTTGAAAAGATTAAGACAATTATCGAAGAAACTTTTCCAATGATAAAATTTAAAGATAGTTATTTGGTAAATGCAATAAAACTTTACTTTCCGATCTTTAATTTATTATTTGTTAATTTAAATGAATCAAATGCATTTAAGATGCACTTTGATGAAATATAAATTTAAAAGGTTTATATAAAAAAATAATAATTTTTACATTGCGGCAGGGTGTCCTTAAATACGAATTGGAAAGTGACATTTTATATAGTAATATATTTGATAAACTCGAGAAATTAAGACAGAGATACGTATGGATCACAGACTATTCAGTTACACAACCGTCAATGGATGAAGTATTTTTAACCTTAGCAAGGAAGCAACGAGAACCTCGCGTGAAATTAACACTTTACAAACGTCTACGTTCGTGGATTATACGTATTATACGTATTATACGTACATTTGTACGTAAATAAAAATAAATTTTGTTGTCATATTTCATTATATGCGTCTTTATTACTTGAATGTTCTTTTTATACATCACAATTATTTAAATAATATTAATAATTAACTATTACTTCTGGAAATATACCGCTGTTCAGTCTATATTGATAACTACTTTTATACTATATTGTAAACTAATTCACCGACGATCGTTCATGTCAGTATTCTGTGATTATTTGTGAGATCCATCAAGCCTTCTTGTTGGATCATAAATTACAGTATTTAGAGAGATATTTTATTAATATTAAATTTATTTACAAATAAATATTGTTTTGCACATTTTTTGCATAAATATATATCCCTAATAAAAAAATATTAAAGAAAATAATACTTTCTCTTTCTCTCCCTCCTTCCTCTCAATCTTCTCATATATTCACTCAGAAGTAATACAGCTTTTACCAGCAATTGATAAATTACCAATTGTTAATCAAAGATATTTCTTCCATATTTGCACATTTATATACGCGCGCGCGCGCGCGTGTGTGTGTGTGTGTGTGTGTGTGTTCTAAGTAAAATTACAAATTGTATAAAGGATATTAAGTAATATCGTATTTAAAAATAAATAAATATGTCATATTTATGAAATTCTTAAAATCTTGTACATATTTACAACGAGACTTACGGAAATCATGTACCTAACGTGACGAGCAATAAATCACAAAGATTATGCAAATTTTGCATTAGAACTGCTCACATATGCATAGATATTTGATAAATTATTTAAATAGCATTGTATCGTGGTTCTTTTACGCCTTTCAAACCGACGATTAATCAAAGCAGCAAAGAGCGCAGCACGGCAATGTACTTCTATTATAAACATTGTTAGCAGTATTATATAAATCGTGACTATCTATCATGCCTGCGTCTCGAGCGACGTCGAGTCGTTCTCTTCCTCCTTCGCGCGAAGAAAATTACGATAACGTGCAAAAGTATATATCCGAGTGCCGAGACACGCGCCCATTTACGCGAACGTAAATAAAACGAGGCGCATTGTTATCTCTCAACTGTCAGTCGAGCAAACGGATATTATCAGTCCGGACCTTTGAACCGCAAGAGAGAAATTCCCTCGGTGAAAAATCAGTTCCCCTCGTCCCTTGGCCGTCGCGATAAAACCGACTAACCCACCAACCCTCCCTCGTTCCGACCACTTAGACACCCGTGCGTGTACCGTGACGTCGATTATACCGGTCATTAAATCCCGATGCGACTAGAAAGACTGTCAGTCGAGGCCGGCAACACCTGACGCGACCTCTAATCGAAAGAAGACAATCGCGATCGAGTCACGGAGGGAGAATCGGCGACGCAATCATGAGCTGACACGAAATCTTAGATATTAATACCGGCAGTTAGAGTAAAGTCTATCTGTGTGCCAAAGCGTACGAGCAAAATTTAATTCGTTTGTGTCTCACGTCGTCTCCGAAAACGCCACGGGAAGATATGAATCTCTCTGCAAAATTCTCAACCTAATCACAGAGAAACATCGCGATTCAGACATTTGCGTCATAATAATAGTCTGCGTGATTGATGTAATTTCTTCGCGGTTGTAAGGTCGCTAAGATAATGTATATATTTTTTTTTTTGTTTCCGACGACAAATCTATTCTTATAAAGTGCGACATTCCCGGAAATAATTTATTCGACTTATTATATTATGAAGAGAATAAATAAAAGAAGAAACACGAATTATTATCCGAAAATGCGTAAGTTATTTTTGTCGTATTCGTTCATCTTTCCTAAAGAAGAATTTATTCTTTATCATAATCATCATCATCATCATCATCATGTCACGTTCCTTTCCTCCTTTGACAGTGTCTATTGCAGCGATCACTAATTGACAATCCCGCATTATTGGTAGACACCAGTAAGTAAGTCGACATGATATGCCATTAATTTTGCGCACAGCTGCACACGTTTGTATGTCGCGAACATACTTTGCCTCTTCTTCCTCGACCAAGGAAGAAGAGGAGACGAGCTGACCCGACTGTCTACGCCTGATATCAGCGAGAATGATAAAACCGAATTGTAAACACAACATGCAACTCCCATTAAAATGAGAGTACGTAAATCAGAGATGTAACTTCCATACAAACTATTCTACTAAAACAAAGATTTTATTCTGATAAAACGCGAGAAGAATGCGGAACTAGATAACGTTAAATGAACAAGATTAAACGTGACAAGGCACTTTGTGTTCTTTTTTTTTAACTGTCGATAATCTGTCGAATTAATGATGGTCGATAGCGTTAAATCAACGGAGAAGAAGTGTGGAAGAATTGAAGGAAGAGCGCTGTCTTCGTCGAAGAATGCTCCGCCGGTATCTTTCGGGAGCAACGAGTTAATCTCTTCTTGTGCAACAAAAATGAAGCGGTGCCTGCGGCGAGGTTAATTAGCAAAAATCATGGAGGGAGCAGATAAAACAGTTTCCTCCTCTCCTTTTCTCTTCATTTGCTTCCCTGTCTCTTTCTCTCTCCTTTGCTGGGATCCCTCGCTCCCCTTTCCGCCCTAAGTCATCCCGCTTTCTTCTTCTCCCACCGCCGCTTTCGTTAAATCGAAGGCAGGAGGGGAACTCCTATCGAACGAATAAAAGGCTTTTCGTCTGCGACCGGCGATGAAGCCGGCTGCAATAAAAGCTTAATTTATAAGACGACCTTCGACCTCGCCTTTGGTAAACGAGAGGGGTACTATCTTTACATAAGCACGGACGAGTACGAAGTTGAAAACAGGCGTCCGTGAAAAAAAAATGATGGAATGCGCGTAAAATAACGAATTTGCATTTTCTTTGAGAAAGAACTGCGCGGTTAGCGCAGACAATTATTAAATAAATAGAAATAGAGATTTAAATTAGTTTGCCAATATCGTATATGCACGAGCCAAAAAATTGTGTGTTGTCTAATCGCAAGCGAGACGAGCACGACGGGAAAACCATTAAGAGCCGACCCGTTCCCTCGAATGACACGTAACGCGATCCGTAATTTCGGATTTTTGTTTCCGAGTGAAAAGCCGGCGTAACCCTTTAATTCCGATGTTTTCGGAGTCATCGGCCGCGCCCACGGCGCGACGTGGCGGTCCCCATGGGAGGAATGTGAATGTGGCGTTGATTGTGGCGGGAACGGGCTTCCGGCTCCGCCGTCCGAAGCCGCGGCCGAAACTTAAACGGCATGTAATCCCTCGTTATATCCCGGTCGCAAGAATTATCTTGCTTAATGTAGGCACAATTGCGCGTACCGTCGATAATAAAATGGACAGCGCGTTAATTTCCTTCTCGTGGTCGTTCGATTACTGATCGCTGATTGACCAACAAATTACGTACCGATATTACCTTTAATAATCGCATATCGCTACAACTTGTACTTTTTATACAATTCCCACGCCGGTTTTTGCGTGATCCATGAAAACGCTAAGATGTTGCACGCATTAACTGTAAAACTTTGAACTGTTTGTTACTAAAAAAAAAGAAACGAAGAGATATCTTATTTTTTTATTTTACAGAGTCGTACGACCTTAAAGTATTAATATAATACAGTATGTAGGAATAATGGAGTGTAAACATATTTTGCTACAACTAGATGAAAGCGTCGACAAAGACGATTGTTCGTAAAATTATGACGGTCATAGGGCGGTATGAGCCGGCATTTCCGGTCCATCGGGAACCGGAACTGCACGCATAGTCGGCTCGGCTGTCGCATCGCGGATACCCTCCCCCCCTCCCCCCCAGTTGCAGTGAGAAACTCGCCCAAAGTCATTTCACGCCCGGCAGAGCGCGGAAACGAGCGTTTACTCGAGATTTCGTTCATAAATCAGGACCTGCCCGAGAGTGTCCTGCCTCTGTTCCCTCGCCGCTCGCCCGTTGCACCCCCGCGATCCGCCATGGTTATGGGGGTTCCACTAGTAGTCAACAATGAAATCTAAAAGCTACTAAGCAAAATCGCTACGGAAATCAGCGTTCTCAATGGGGGAACAACACATTGCAGATAAAATTATCGTGCGAAAGCGAGGAGGAACACAACGATCGTTTATGAATTTACGAGAGATAAAAGGGTCGACGATTAATTTTTTTTTTTTTTTTTTTAATTAAAAACTGTCGTTCATAACTTTAAAAAAACTTTCTATTTTTCTTCTACGTTTAACAAAAATTGCCACTGTAACAATTCTAATGGACATTCTATATTCTAGCAATGTCATGGAAGAGCTTATACATAAGAAAGAAACAGGAAGCATCCTTTTTCTAATATGATAATGACAAAGATATAAAATTTTATCTCTCGTACGCGCCGTAAGTTACAGCTTCCGCCACAATATTTATGTTTCCTCGGGAAAATTTGAGAGAAAAAGACGACTATCGAGAAAATATGGTAACCGTGATATTATTTTGATTTGAGTGAAAATCAACAGGTGACTGTCGACAGCCGGATAGCGAGTGCCAGGAGCATATAGAGGAACACGTTTTGTTCTCTCTTCCTCTTTCATACTTGTTTCGGATCATTTTCGATGTTATCCCTGTAGCATATGCCCGATACGGGGCAGATGGTTGAAAGTGTTAAGTTAGTTACCTATATATCGTGCGACATCGGGCGATTTAAAAGACGTCCCGCATTTTCTTCGAATTATTGACTAATCGCATCGGCCGAATTCGTTTTGTTGAAATATTGGCGCAATAAAAATAATGGCAGCTCGCAAATTATAATTTGAACAAGAATTATGATATGCGAGGCTTGTTGCCGTTAATGTTGCTGTTAATTAATATACATTTCGAGACGCAATTGGAGCAGCAGTTGCAGATGTGCCCGCGTCGCGCAAGAGACGGATGAAAAATCGCAACAAAGGCAACTCAGTTCTCCGAGAGAAGGAGAAGTAGCAGGAGCCTCATGATCATGTCTTCCACCTGTACGCTGGTACACGCATGTGTATACCACCAGCACCAGCAACGGGGGATACGTTGGTCCCTTATGTACAGCTACAGCTGCCGGAATGTCTCTCGAGCGTGTTCCGGCAGAGAGAAAGGGACGTACAGGTGCGATCATTAACTCAATTGAATTTCGATATGTAAAAATGCGCGAGCGGCACTGTTTCGAAATAAAATGCCTCTATCATTCACACCGCGATTATCACACATGTCCGAATCGAGCGAAGTCGACGATCTCTCATTCATCCGCAACAATCGACTGCTTTTCACGCACGCACGATAAAAAAAAGGTACAAGTTCACTTTTCGGTAACGTTTAATTCGTTCTACCTAATGACGCGCGTTTTGCCGCGCGACTTCCGAGGCGTTTCCTATTCTTCTCCTTTTTCTTTTTTTTTTTCTGTTTCCTTGGGAGAATTAGAAGTGCCACGTACACGGCCCGGTGGCACTTCTGGCCAACGGAAACTCGGAAGGACCTCAAGGAAGGCGAAAGGTGCTCGCGTGTATGCGTGGTTGCCCGCGCTCGTGTGGGACACAACGTGTCATTAAATCGAAAAGGCACTTGTGCCGCCTGCACTTGCCGTCCAGGAAGAAGCACCTGACGGTTCCTCCACGACAGGGTGGGTTTTTAACGGTCGAAAACACAACGTGCGGCATATATAGTGATTCCGAAGGGTAGGCTGCGAGCATAGGGAGCGGATCGATAGATGATCGATAATAAGACGCAGGTGCTTCCTCCGCGCGGTATTGTTCCCGCTGGTTTCCTCTATTCCTCTTGATTTTCTTCCTCTTCTATTTCTTCTATTCTTCGTCGTTCTCTCGTTCCGCTTTTTTGTCCCGCCACTTTTCCGCTTGGCCTCTCTTGTTTCCCCCCTCCCCCCCCCGTCCGTTTTCGCCTCATTGCATCGTAGCATTCTTTTGCTCGTGCGCTGATCTCTTTAAGCTTCTCCTTCTGCCTTCACGTTCTTTCTTCTCTTCCTTTTCTCTTACTGACCCATTCGTATTTTCATTACTATCCCCATCTCTTCGTTCATCATCGCAATTCGTTTTTCTTTCTTCGGCGATCCATTCCGCGCGATGTTTACTACTTTGCATGCCTCTCGGCGTACGGATGTCGTTCTGTTTAATATTACGATTCTATTATGTCAAATTTTATATTCTGTCGGGAATAATTTATTACATATTAATTTTATTGCATACCACTATTACAAAGAAGCCTTTCCGTTTCTTTCATTATCCATTCCATCTAAGTAAATTCTGCATAAAAAGTAATAATTATAATCTCAATTGTTGATCACGATATATCTCTCCTAGACCTTCTAGCGTTTTTTCAATCAAAAACCAAAATGCGTAGAGACCAAAGACCAATTTGCTCAAGATGTCGTTATCCGTTGTCTCGTTGGTACGACACCTTCGTGGGGTGGGAATGCTGGAGGGTGGTGGCGCTCCGCCGAAAACGACGGTTGAAAGTCGCATCGGCTTCTCGCGTGGGACTTTCAGGTAGACATGAAACTTTTCAGCTCTCCGCAACGCTCTTCAAGGCGTTCGGGGTGTGCACCTGCTATACACCTGTTGGCCGTTGGTCGCTTCTGCTGTCCGTCGCGAACGAGTACGCGGCCGCGCGTACGTGTGCGGGAAACGTATCTCTTCGAGACCGTTAGAAAAAAAAGCAAATTGATGCAATCTTTAGGAGACGATGGTAACAGGAAGTGGTAAAGGGCGGAAGAAGAAAAGGAATATGCTAATAAAAATAGAAAGAAAATCGAGCATCGAGGACTAACGAAGATCAGAGCCTCTGAAGTTAGTATGTTTATATGCGCTTAGAAGCGCATATTTAAATGGCTTTCGTCAAAAATATGCATTTCGAATCGGACGGGAATTTTTCAAAGAAGAATCCTCGCGGGCTCTTTTTCTTTCTTTCTTAAAGGCATTCTTTTGCGCGCAAATTTCAATTGGCGAATTCTGCATAAATGCAAAATCAGGCTTTTGTGAGGAACGTTTTGCCAAACGAGAATGTTATGCCGTTCAGAGTCGTTCGCAAAAGGCGACGCGGCGAAATTGTTTCTTTCAGCAGGTAAAAGCTTGGCAATCATACGCTATTAGCCTCCTCCACAGCCTGATCCAGCACGCGCTCAGGCAACGTCGGTTGCGAGAGCAATTTTCAAACGGGCCAATGGCATCGGTCTCGCATCGGTAGCAAGCGAACGAAGAAAAGGGTAATCGAAGAAGCACACGTACCTACATCTAAATGTCCATTGAAAGTCTTCGAACTCTTCGTTTTTAGATTTTTAAAAATAATTCCTTGCACTTGCGTTCCCCGTTGTCATGAAATTTTTCCTAACTCGCGAAAAAATATATAAAAAGTGTTTTACAGCGTGAAAATGTTCGTTGATGACGATTACGACGTATAAGATATATTTTTTTAGATCTTTTAATTAATATTTTTTATAGAATTGCATAAATACTTTATGCTTGAATGGTGTCTCGCGTATCAGCGGGACAATCGCTAACGGCTCGCAATTTGCAGGAATGGGCCCGATCGCGCGCGCACGCACGCACAGCCGGATCGTTTCCACCAAAGGCGAAAGACGAAAGACGAAAGACGAAAGCGAAAGACGGTTGAAGGGCAATTATCGTGCGAAGGGCCATCAGGTATTCCGTGGCGTGCGGAGGAGTATACAGGCGAAGGAGGACGCGGAGGAGCAACGGAGAGGTATGGCGAACGGAGGGAAGAAGGGAAGCAGGGAGCGCCTGATACACTTTTAATACGGGACCGAAGGAGCCCCCTGCACAGCAGGTGCACCGCAGGTGATTCTCCTCGTCCCTCTCGCACACCGCGCGCAGGCTTCCTCTCACGATTCCTCATGGCCGGCCCGCACCCTGCGTACGCGATCTCCCACAGTGGTGGACTCGTCTTTTTTCCACGCGGAGGGGAACAGAAGGAGGGCTTTTTCGCCGTCGCCGGGACTCGCTGAGAAGAAAGGATCGATCGGTAATAGCTGTGCCAAATGTGCCCGCCTGCCTAATGATTATCTAATCATTACCGATTTATCTCGCTCTCCAATTTTCCAATTGGACCATGCCTCGATCCCGGTCTTCGGTTTTATTCCCCAAAAATACACAAGTACAAGTGAGAATGAGAAAGAAATGCTAAAAATCGCGAACGAAACGAAGTTGAACGTTCTTATTGAGATATGTAAGTCAGTTTTCTTGAAATGTGTTGCTAATTTGTCATAAACTTCATAGACTAAAGCCTTTGTCTTACCTATGCGTTTGTCTTACTTCTGTGTCGATTTTTTACTCTCAGAGATCCATAAAAGCCCTCTCGGTTTTAAAAGGGCGTCGCTTCGTGGGCCGCCCGTAGTCGAGATCCTCGCGTGGGAAAGAAATGGGGCGCCAACCCTTTTTTCGAGATGCCGTGCAAGACGCTGGGGGTGGAAACGTAACCGATACGCTCGGCAGGACCCTGTTTGAATTTCATTAAGCGACCTGACGCCACGTCGGGATTCGTTCTGCTTGACTGCCGTGTCCGTCGAAGCGACCAGAAACGCCACACAAACTGGATTTCTTGCGTGCATTCCATGACTTTTAAATGCTGAGAATAAGAATAAACGCATATTAAAAATACGTGGCATTAAAAATCTCGAATCGACTTGCAAAAATGTATACGTCATCTTGACTAATTTATTCATTCTTATATCATTGTTGAATTTATTTTTATGCTCTATGACACTTTTTTAACATAAAGTACGCATTAATTATATTATATTGTCATTGTATATATCTACTAATATAGTAGTGTGTGTATACACACACACACACACACACACACAATATATATATATATATATATATATATATATATATATAATATCTATTAATAAAATGGCATATGCACAAATAGAAAAAGATCTTTAAATATGTTGATGCTAATAAAAAAAGATATCTAAATACAAACGTGTTGCTAATTCGTGCTGCTGACGTAATCGATTCAAATTGATTTCAATTTTAGAAAACCGTTTCTAATACCGTTCACGAACGTTTGTCAAGCGATTTGTTTAGCGAAGAGGCTATTTTGTGCTGCGAAATTAAGCGACGGTTATGCGCGCAAGATGATTCAAACGCGATTCCCTCTTATCGCCGACGGGCGCGCGTGTTACAGAGTAACTTACGGCACGAAGAAAGTAACTCGTATTCTCTTAGCCGGTATTATCTAAATTACGCGAAACACGCACATTCGCGCGCGCGCCGAACGCGCTCTTGGCGCCGCAGATGAATAATCCTTCATAGATCTTCGGTACCCGATCGGCTCGTCTCACCTGCTGAATAACGAATAAATTTTGTCATAATATGTTACCCGTCCGTGCTGTCGCGCGTTAACATTACCGTTGCGTAATGCAATTTGCATCGTGCGCCCGTTGTCCATAAAAGAAAAAAAGAAAAAAAAAGAGAGAGAAATGAAAAGAACGACGCACGACAGGCCGCGTGCAGGCGAGGCGCTAACACTCGCGAATTGACACTTACTTTCTCTCGATAACCGTCGTCCACTCGAGACTTGAAGCTTCACGGCGTAAGCCGCGAAGCGTAAAGCAAATAACGTAAAGCGAGAATGAGCGGAGAATGCAGTCGAAACGTAATGCTGGAGAGTAACCACTTGTTGTTGGGGGAATGCAGTGATAATAAATTAACGATAACCAAGCGGCCGATTAAGCTACGTAAATAACATGAAGCCTTGTTACCTAGGGTATACTCTAGAGCGATTAATTACATGCAAGGTCGTCCATCCGACCGTCACCTCGCCTCGCCTCGAAAATGGAATATGCGTGTCACAAGTGCGCAAGCTGCGGCGCACTTGGGAGCGGCCGGACCCCCATAAAAGATCGGCGCAGCTGGATTTTTTGGAAAAAATCCCGAACGAGCACGGGCATGCGGTTGCCTCGGGGAGGCAGCCGCGGAAGAAGAAGAAGAAGAGAGAAGAGAGAGAGAGAGAGAAGAAGAAGAAGAAGAAGAAGAAGAAGAAGAAGAAGAAGAAGAAGAAGAAGAAGAAGAAGAAGAAGAAGATGAAGAAGAAGGAGCCAAAATGCTGGCGGGATAAAGGCCGCGAAGACGGGGAGTAGTACGAAGCAAATGAGAAGACGAAGGAAGACGGCCTCGGTGAAGAATGAAGGTAAGGCGCGAATGGAGAAACAAGAAGAAGATGAAAAGATGGAAGAAAGATCAGAGGCAGCAGAAGAAGGATAAGAAGATTCGAAGGAAGAGTCCGTCTGCGGCGGTGGAGTTGAAGGAGGACAGTGAGGCGGGCAAGGTGCTGCCAAGGTGGCGGTTAGGGCAGCTGATCTTCGAATAGCAGCAGGTGAATGTGAAGAAGCTCACGTGGATGAAGCGAGACGGGAGAACATGGCGGTTGTGGTGGCGACCATGAAGGAGGAAAAGGTGGAATCCACGCGTGCATAAAAGGTGTTTCGTTATTGTTACCAGGCGAACGGCAGCCCCTTGGATTTATTAATCTTGTTCTGCCGGCAACATGGTCCCGTACCGTCGCTGTACGACTGATAGACCAAAAAAGGATGATGCCTTCCGCTCATCCGCGATGAACGCTGCCATACATATGCTCAAATTTCAGAATGCTGGATCTCAGAATCGCCAAACAGGCAGGCAAGTGCCAGATCTTTAATTACGATCAGCTGCGCGATATATCTATATCGTCCTACATTCCGTATCATTGATTGATGTAATCTTTATTATATACATAATAATTATAAATTTTATAATTACAAAATACATGAGCTGACCTTCCTGAGCGTTATCCGTATTCATTACAAATTTCATATTAATATAATAATTATACCAAGTAATATTCTTTGTTAAATATTTTTGCAGCTGAGGGAACAGCCTGTATATGTTTTTAGAAAGATTCGCAAATCAGTAATAAAAATTAACAATATTGGAATTTTATCATGCTCGGATTTAAGGATAAAAAGCTGAAAGTTCTGCAAATATTATACATATCTGCGATGCCACCTGAATAAACTGTAACAAAATATTGCTGCTCCTAATTGATCTATTTTCAGCATTGATATTATTCAGCGTATGATTTAAAAAGATATTTGCGGTACGCCGCGACGGTGATAGCCCTCGTAGAGGTTTAACGTTAATTTCTCGCCAACAAAATATCGCTGTTCGTTCATCATCGCGTGTACATATACCTGATCGACGACATTCTTTCCCGTATCGAATACTCCGTGGAGGGTACCGAGAATGAAGCCACGCAGTGAGATCGGAAAACACAAACAAGCCCTCTGGTCCGTGCATTCCCGTTGCGGTTTTGGGCGTATACGAATACGTACATATTTACCTTCATTATGCCTGTTGTTTTTTACCAAATCTTATTCCCCAATCGTATTTTAAGAGAAATAAAGAAAAGAAAATATTTCAGATGGCCACATTTTTTTACTTTTATTTCGCGCCAACCAAGAAAATATAAAATATAACTTTGTCTCTTCG